CATCTTCCGGTGGTAAACTTAACGATATTTCAGAAAGGTGGATGGTATTCTGGTATCAAACTTTATAACCACCTCCCTCCAGAGCTTAAACAATTATCTTATGACATTCCTGGATTTAAAGTGGCGTTAAAGAAGTTTCTTATCACCTGTTCTTTTTATACTGTTGAAGAATACTACTGCTGGAATAAAGATTGATACCTCATGTATATTTAGTAAACACTGTTTCCTATTGCTAGGATGCAACAACGGAATATGGAATAAAAATACTCACTGCTGTAATATAGGTGTATCATATATTAAGAAAATAGATTTCATATTACTATATTAAGAGTCTTGACGGTCTTTTAATCATGTATGTAATTTTAAATGTTATTTTGATATATGAATGTATTGTTGTGCAGTAGTTTTGTTGTATTGAGTATTTAAATTTTGACAATGATGAATGTCTGATTATGTATGTATATTTATATGTTATATTGTATTATTGACTTGTTCTGTATCTGAGGCAGATGCCTCTATGGATTTTTTTGGAACTGTAAATAAATGACAGTAAGCAATGCCACTAGTGCTCATAAATATATTGTGCTTGAGAACTGAGTGTTGTTTATGTATTCTTTATTCTTAGTTTCTTAGATGGGCTGGCAGCACTGAAAATCCCATTCTCCATAGTGAAGGACACTGTTTGGTGTGAAGCAAGCAAGGAGCGTTCAGGAATTCCTCACATGCCTCTTTCATGTCGCCTGTGAGAAGCTTGACTTCTTACTGAAGAATGAGTGCCCAAGATCCCTTCCCCTCACATGACTATTGTTCACCAATCATGAATTGGCCCTGTAGCGAAGCAGGATTTTGGAAACCAACAGTAGGAGGGGCATAAACATGATGCAAATTGCAGGAGAATTTTAATTTGTGATTGTTGGTACCTCTGGAGGGGCTGGAGACTGCTGTCTCGGCTGGCAGAGGATGTGACTGAGTCTGGACCTAACAAGGAGGATTCAGGAATGGTTCCCCTCTCTTCTGCGCTCCATCTACATGGAGGGCATGTCACTAGGTGCTAGCAGTGAGGAGTCTGTGAAGCCAAGGTGTGTGTTGTCTCAGAAGCAATGATTTTTTTAGTTTTTCATGAAGATTTATATTGTGATCTTCTGGGTCAGGACACTGTGTAGCTTGCAGGTGGGTATCAGCCTGGAAGCTGCAGGCACGTATGTTGCTCTGAAATTTTGGGTATTCTCCTGTAGAATAAGTTGATGTTCAGAGGGACAGGTTCATTTGCATATTGACTGCTGATGCACTTCTGGTGGAAGGATCATTTTAACAGTTTGCCATGAACCCAGCACAAATTCTGTAGTTGGAATTTGCAGCTGTGTCAGGCTGCATGCTTATTAAAGCTCTTGTTAGGTTGAGAATTTGTTATGTCAAAAATAATTATATTAGAAATACATAGCAAAAATGTCCTGATATACTCTGATATTAACCTTTGAATACAGTGGTCCCATGCCACATATATATATATATAAGGTTCTGGAAGGATATTCTGCTTGCTGTCTTGAACTGTTACTGTTAATGCAACTAACAGAGTTGGACATCCTCTGAAAGATATTGTTCTTGTTGACAGGAGTTTGGTGGCATCCAGTGAAGAAGTCATTGTTCAACGATTTCATTGTGTTTGGGCTGAACATGGAGGATCTTAAGAGGGATATGTAGCAAATTCTCCCTGTTACTATGCGCCATCTGCAAGCATTTTCTGTAGCAAAGGTGCGTGTCATATGTGAACCAAATTATGGGGTGCGCTGTGGGGAATTTGGCAGTCAGTGGGGCTGCTTCAGTTTGCACATTGCAGTGGAACCGCAATTTAATGTTCAATTTCAGTGACCCCAAGTCAATCCTCTCGGTGCTAATTTCCCTCCATTTTAAACCTTTGGCCCTTTACTGTCCAAATGCACTTCTCCCATAACAAAACTTAAATACAGTTTTCACAGTCATCAGAAACACACTTATTTGAACTCTATCATGGTACTGGTTTGGAACCCTGATATGTTGAGAGTTTGAAATATAAAGAATAATTTTGTCAAAAATAACCTGTCACTGCACATCAGGTGCATGTGCTTTCATGTGACCTGTCTTGCACTTTGAGGGCTACATAACTTATGAATATTTTGTATTTGTATGTATTTTGGAAAAATTTCTTGACCAAAGAGTTGATGGAGTCATTATGGAAATGGCTTAGTCACGTTAAAATATGAATGCCCATTTGACGCATTCGGTAAAGACAAACTGGATAGGCCTTACTGGGAGTTCCTTGGTAACAAAAGACAGCATACTCATTCATGCAGAAGTTTTCTCTACCAAATGCTTCTGTTTGCAGAAGGGTTGGTTCTTGAAATTGTGTCTGTGTAGTGAAGGTCTGTAATGCGAACACTTGTCATTGTTAGTAGTGGAGATGTATTCATAGAGAAATTTTAGCTGTTCACCTTTCTAATGAGAGTGCTCTTCTTCATCCATCAGAAGTATAGGCAGGCTCACTTTCTCCACCCATTTAGCTGTACCCCTTGCACTTCAACTTGATGGCCTCTTTCCGGACATCTTGATTAAGAGTAATAGCTGCACAGTCTCAAGTAGGATGGGAACATCATACATGTGTGTGAGCCATGCATATGATCTGATACATCACAGGTCCCTGTGCATATGCAGCATGAATTTATTTCCACTCTGTGTTTAAGAGCATTCATTTTGATCTCAAATTTCTGTAAGGGTGAAATAATGTTCTTATTCACTCACTCCTTGGTTTGAGGACCGTGTAAGAACCCTAACTGTCTTTATGACAAATGCTCGTTCTTTCTTCTTATTTGCCTTTTACCTTCATTTTGCCACTTTCAGCTTCTGTAAATCATTCTCTGTGTTCCAGCCATCTCAGTCTAGCCTTTGACCTTGTGGCCTGCTTACAAAAATTTCTTAGCCTCCCTGCTTTGTTCCACTGTAATTGCATACATGAACCCTTTTGTTTAGCCTACAAATGCTTTTTGCTTCCCCCCTACGTTATTTTATGAACATTTGTATTGCAACATAACACCTGAAAGCTTCAATCTGTCCATCTGCTGGGCTGGCCTTCACTGAGAACATTCCCATGGCAGCATGGAATGCACTATTGCTAGATGGAAAATTGTTGGAACATGTTTCCACAGCAATGAGTATGACTGAATAAGCAATGCATTGCCTAGAGATTCACATCAGTCCCTAGGCAATGCATACAGAGGCAGTTCCATTGTAATGGATAGGTAAAGGTTGTTCACCCAGCAACAAAAGAGCTATGCAAAGTAGGTACCCATGCAGATGGTGATCTCTATATGGTTCAATCAAAACCTACCGCAGGGGGAGATAGAATCCAAGGAGATGAGATGCTGGAGAGACCTATTGACTGCACCAAGAAGATGAGATGCTGGAGAGACCTACTGACTGCACCAAGAAGATGAGATGCTGGAGAGACCTACTGACTGCACCAAGAAGATGAGATGCTGGAGAGACCTACTGACTGCACCAAGAAGATGAGATGCTGGAGAGACCTACTGACTGCACCAAGAAGATGAGATGCTGGAGAGACCTACTGACTGCACCAAGAAGATGAGATGCTGGAGAGACCTACTGACTGCACCAAGAAGATGAGATGCTGGAGAGACCTACTGACTGCACCAAGAAGATGAGATGCTGGAGAGACCTACTGACTGCACCAAGAAGATGAGATGCTGGAGAGACCTACTGACTGCACCAAGAAGATGAGATGCTGGAGAGACCTACTGACTGCACCAAGAAGATGAGATGCTGGAGAGACCTACTGACTGCACCAAGAAGATGAGATGCTGGAGAGACCTACTGACTGCACCAAGAAGATGAGATGCTGGAGAGACCTACTGACTGCACCAAGAAGATGAGATGCTGGAGAGACCTACTGACTGCACCAAGAAGATGAGATGCTGGAGAGACCTACTGACTGCACCAAGAAGATGAGATGCTGGAGAGACCTACTGACTGCACCAAGAAGATGAGATGCTGGAGAGACCTACTGACTGCACCAAGAAGATGAGATGCTGGAGAGACCTACTGACTGCACCAAGAAGATGAGATGCTGGAGAGACCTACTGACTGCACCAAGAAGATGAGATGCTGGAGAGACCTACTGACTGCACCAAGAAGATGAGATGCTGGAGAGACCTACTGACTGCACCAAGAAGATGAGATGCTGGAGAGACCTACTGACTGCACCAAGAAGATGAGATGCTGGAGAGACCTACTGACTGCACCAAGAAGATGAGATGCTGGAGAGACCTACTGACTGCACCAAGAAGATGAGATGCTGGAGAGACCTACTGACTGCACCAAGAAGATGAGATGCTGGAGAGACCTGCTGACTGCGCCAAGAAGATGAGATGTTGGAGAGACCTGCTGACTGAGCCAAAGAGGTTAGATACAGACTTGCTCACTGAATAAATACAAGGAGCATCCAAGTGTTGAAGACTTTGTGTCTTATTGTTCTAATAACCTTTTGAAGTGTCATTCATCAATCCAGAGAACTTGTTGCATTACCAGCATATGTAACAGTATTTAATCTCATTCCCCCTTGCATTATTTGTGGATGTCCAGTCACGTGTATTCGCTGCATTTCCCTCCAGCAGTAATTTAATGTTCTCTGTCAGTCAGATGAACCAGATAATGGCCTATATCACACTTCACACCACTACAGCTCCCACATCTCTGGTAGAAGTTATCTAGAGATCACCACACTTCCTTGTGTATCTTGTTGGCGGGAAAATGCATGCTGACAGCAAAATTGGTGGCTTTCAGTTTGTTACTGTTGGATAACTCATGTGAACTCCATCTTCCAGTAGTTCAGTGAAATATCTCCTCTTGTCCAATATTTGATTTTAGATCACCCACTCTCATCTTTTCCTCCAGTTGGTGTGTGAGCCCATTTGACCTTTATAATGTGGGACTTCCCCGTGTCACTAAGTTAACTTATGGTTCTAAATCCTGTGGACCAAATGCATTACTGCCCGTGCTTCCTCACATTCCTTCTGGTCTCTTGAATTGCTGCAACAGGAACACTGTATGTGTGTAATTCCATTTTTAATTGGCTGCTTATGAACTGACCGCATCCCAAGTCGCAAAATACATGGTCTGACACTATAGTTAGAGAACTCATCGCAGTAAAGGGGCTACATGCCTCATTGCTGAATATCACTGTGGTCACCTTCAGAGTACTCTGCTTGGAAAACTATGCACCTGTGCCAGCACCTAATCCACCCTTCAAAACAATTTTAGAACTGGTTTTGTGGAGATGCCTTCAGATATGCCATTGTTATTACTCCTGATGTCATCAGTGTCATCAAAATGCCTTCCTTTCAATGTTTCCTTTATCTTTGGGAACAGAAAAAAGTCACCGGGGGCTAGATCAGGTGAATAGGGTGTTCCAGCACATTTATTTGTTTACAAGCTATAAACTCCCTCACAGACAGTGCCGTGTGAACAGGTCCTTTGGGACCATTTTTGCACACACCTTCCTCATGTCAAGATCTTCAGTTAAGATTTTCCTAAATGTTTCTCTGTTGATGTTTGCCTGCTCTGCTATGCTGCTGACAGTCGGGTGACAATTTTCACGCACAATTTGATGAACTTTTGCAATGTTTTCTTCACTTCTGTTCATTGCTGGCTGTCCTGATCTCTCTTTATCAGTAACACTACCTCTTCCCTCAGAAAAACGTGTCACCCTCTTGTAAACTGCCGTTTTCTTCATAGGATCCCCGTAAACTTGCCTTAACATCTCTCTGATTTCAGTTTTCACTTCCACTCTTGCCAAGAAGTAATAGATTCCACTCAGAAAGAGACTGCCATACATCAACAATAACATAGCTGTGAAACACTGATATGCCAACATCATCAAAACCATACTGAGGTTTGTGTCAACTGCTGCCATGACAAGCACATGGTGGCGAGTTCGCAAACTTTATTGCCAGACCTCATATGACTCACTGGTCTGATAACCTTTCCTTGGTTATTTAAGTTTTTCACCTGATTTCTGTCATCAGGTTTTTTAACACACAGTGTTTTGCAAGGTGAGATTGTTGACTTTAGCTCAGCCCTCTTCTCTGTGGCCCCCTATAGCATAGTTGTCCAGGAGTTGGGTCACAGACCTCACCAAGTAGAGGGAATTTTGAACTCATGAATCATATGTTCATGTTTTATGATATATATAACTTGAACCCAGGGGCACACCAAACTCACTAAGCTTCATTATATTCCTGTTTGTTTCTGTTGACTTGGATATGTTGTGTATGTCATTAAGTCAAATGAGGGAAAGATGTGCACACAAAACTTAGTTTGGAAAACCTAAAAGTGGTACCTCATTTGGAAGTATAATATTGAACTGGATTGAATTGGCTGAGGATATGACTCCATGGCAGGCTTTATAAAATGAGTGTTTGCTTAATTTGGTTGTCTGTTCCTTAAGCTCAGTGCACAGTGGGTGCCCCAAGGGGGGTAGGGGCGGGGGCAGGGGCGTATTGACTTGCTTCTAGGTAGCTCAGAGGTTGTTGATTACTGTTGTTATGGTGCTAAGGCAGTTTGTTTAATATTCTTGGCCTTTGCCTGCCTCATTAATGCTGAAGAATTGCATGTCACAGGTGGATTTGCTTTATCAGCAGCATTCTTTCAACTTTATAGGTTTGTGTTAAATGACAGGATGTGGTCATGGCCTAATTTAAACTAATGTCCTGGCAGTTCCGTGGAGGAATTGATGAAAGCCTGAAAGATCTCTAGTCACAATAGCAGGCTGATAAGGAAGGTGGCAGCACAGTCAAGTTCATATTGTTGTGATACCTGATGTTATGTCCATGATCATTCCCAGATTGGTAATATAGTTCAGTGAGACTGCATGACGAGCTTTGGGATACTTTGGTGCTTTGCCCACAGAGTTAAATCAGCTGAAACACAAGGTGATCACTGACCTCTGTACCTCTTAGATGCAAGCCGTGCTGGGTGTGTTTTGGGGGAGAAACAACAGTTAGTTTTGTCATGTTGACCTGCCTCAGAGGGTAAGCGTTTAAGTAACTGTACAGAATGGTACCAAGCCATTTTGATTCCTCTTAAGAGTCATTTTCTTCTCTGCAATTAATGTTCATAACACCAGCCATATTTTCTCAACATGCATTGTGCTACTGCTTATCCCATTTGATATCAGATTGCTCTTAAATTAAAAAATTCTGTAAAGCATATCTTAAACAAAAAATTCTAGGGGAAGGTCCTTTTCAACTTTGGCCAGAAAGAGGAAGAGAGAAGACTTGGAGGTGTGTGAGAATGGGGTGCTGAAGAGAATATTTAGGAACTACAAGAGAGAAAGTGGGTATGATGGGTAGGGCACATGGTAGAAGATAAGAGCATAAAAAGTTTTGGTAGGAAGACAGGCGTATATGGGAAGATAATATTAAAACAGATCTTAAAGAAATGGCATGAGAGTTGACTGCTCAGGACAAAGATCTGTGTTGGGCTTTTGTGAATGTGGAAATGAACTTCTGGGCTCCATAATATTTCTGGAATCTCTTTTAACATGCTGAGTAACTATTAACATCTCAAGAAAGACTTGCTTTTAATCGTTTCTTGCATCCTGTTGTGTGTTTAATTAATAGTAGAGTGAATTTACTGACTACACAACACGTTTTTTATTATCACTACATGTTTCGACCTCAAGAGGTCAACCTCAGATGCATGAACACGGCTGTATAATTACATGTGGTCACATTCACTTTTCACTCATTCGACTCTCTATCTTATCCAGATTTACGCTCACTAATATATCGAGTTCTTTTTGTAAAACACAGGTTAAAATTATTCTTCTAATTTAATTGTTAAAAGTTCAAAGTTCGTTAATCGAAGTTCAATTCATGTCACTGGTTACACTTTCACTTCTTTTTACAGTCTCATTTTACTTACACTCACAACTGTGTCTAGTTCTTTTTTAACTAGTTTAATTATTATTATTATTATTATTATTATTATTGGTTAAAAGTTTGTGTAAGCAATGACATGAATTGAACTTCGATTCACGAAGTTTTAACAATTAAATTAGAATAATAATTTTAACCTGTGTTTTATAAAAAGAACTCAGTATATTAGTGAGCATAAGTCTGGATAAGATACAGAGTCGAATGAGTGACAGTAAATTCACTCTACTATTAAAGACTTGCTTTATTTGATTGATGATTCTGAAGTATGTATGTATGATATGGAAAGCATAAGTGGTGATGTGCACATTTGATTAATGATTCTGATGTATGTATGGGTGCTATGGAAAGCATAAGTGGTGATGTGCAAATTTTTTAGGTTTGAGACTGCATATGGCACTTCCCTGCATGAATCCTAATAGTCCTTAGGAAACTTCTGATTTTATATAAATCAGAGGGCAGTAGGATGAGGTCTGTGCATGTCATGTACATTTGCTTACCTTTCCCTTGCAGCTGTTGTGATGCTCATTTGATTCCAAATCCATGTAGTGATTTTGTGATGGAATCGTGTTACTCTGCTCAGGAAGCATGTCACTGGAGCAAACGCATAACTCCCCCGGTATCTTCACTAGGACTTTTTTTTTTTGCTCTTTCCAGTGAGTACTGTATCTCCTTAAAGCATGTAACCCTTTTCTGTATGAATGAAACAAACATTAGCATTCTGGGCAGCACAGACTCACAGTTGTGGTGAAATACTGAAAATGTCTGAACACTGTTTTGTTTGTTTACAGTTAGTGTGTAGCAAGTGAACACATTGCAGACCACCTGTATCAAAATGTGATGTGCTAATGGAGGAGTTTTCAGAAGCAAGGTTATCAGTCATTTCGCATTAGTTATTTCGGGAAGGAAAAAAGCCACCATGTGTTGCTTCATTATATTTGGAAATTGCATGTGACCATTTTCTAATTACTAAAGTAGCTGATGCCAGTCACAGTAGCCGAGCGCTCTAAGACATGTACTGTCTTCGCTCGCTTGGAAACAAGGATCGTGGGTTCAAATCCCACTCAGGGCATGGATGTTTAGTTTGTGTGTGTGTGCATTTTTCTGTGTTTGTGTACAGGTAGAGGCCTTGTGATGAGCTGATCACCTGCCCAAGGAGTCCCACCGAATGTGTAAAACCTAGGAAAACCAAAGTGAACAGAGAGGTTCATGGAGGTAGGCCTAGGCCCACTGGGGCTGTAGTGCCAAGGAAAAAAAAAAGTACCTGGTATCATTAACTTCATAAAGGAAAGGATCATTGTCCTAAGATAGTTGCAGTGAAACAAAAGATGCTAGCTCACAACTCACCTGGCAGTGATAATTATCATGGTGTTGGATGTTGGTAGGTGATCATTTTCAAAGTGGGGGGAATTTGTGGGGAGGAACAGAGTTTTAACTCATAAAACATGGATTGGAACAGGTGTGAACTTTTCAATTTTAGCAGCATGTCACATAAAGGTTAACATGCAAAAATGAATGATTATGTATTTACTCTTGCCAAGGCCGACTCCTACTGTAACATCCTCAGGAAACTTCGTAAGGCCATTCAACGGAAGCTACCAGGACTCCTCACCAAAGGCGTGTTGCTCTTGCATGACAACGCGCGTCCCCATACTGCCAACAAAACAAATGAGACGCTGTGAAATTTCAAGTGGGAAGTCCTCGAGCATCCTCGATACAGCCCTGACCTTGCTCCAAGTGACTTCCATTTTTCAGCCCTCTTAAACATCATCTTTCGGCTGAACACTTTCCCGACGATGAAGCTGTAGAAAGGGAAGTCACCGCCTGGTTCCGACAACAGCTCAAAGAATTTTATGCTGCTGGTTTTCAGGGGCTTGTGAAACGATGGGACAAGTGCCTCAATGTACAGGGAGATTATGTTGAGAAATAAAACCATTTTTCAAATCAGTACTCTTATTTGTTTAAGTTCTATATCCATTTGTAACTTACTTATTGACTTACCCTCATATTTTGATACCATGCATATTGTGCCTTTCCAGCTGCCTACAACTGGGGCTCTGCAGTCCTCCAAAGAAGCAGTTCTGAGATTCTCCATGCCCTGCCTACTCCCTTACAGTACTCAACTAGGGGGGATATGAGAGAAATTTTATCATGTTTATAATGCACTGTAGAAATTACATTTCACTTCATAACCAAGGGGTAAGTACATTACTGACCAAGGTCCAGAAATTCTGGGCTAGAAGAATGAATGTGAGATGACATACCTGTGGCAGGGGATCCTTGATGGTGCACAATCCTTGCTCACCCACGCACTCGACACAGATTTCTTCGCTGATACCGCTCCTGAACTGCCAATATACTGTAACAATTACATACTTTTTTTTTATTGCTAGTGGGGTGGGACTAAGTCCCTTATACTGCGGCCACTTCTGGCCTATTGTACCAGCCCCAGATGATAGGTGAGGGTGATTGTGGAGCAATTGGTGGAATGAAGTTTGGCAGGGGATATCTAAGTACTCTGAGAAAACCTGCCCCAGTGTCACTTTGTCCACCACAAATCCCACTTGACCAGACCCGGGTTCGAACCCGAGCCGTCGCGGTTCTAACAATAACCCAACTGTGGGACAGTTTGTAGATAACCTGAAGACTAGTTTCACCACTGGACTTTATTTTAGAAGTCTGTGTAGAAGTAATTATGAGGATGATTGTGCTATTCTTTTGGACAATCTACAAGCGTTGCTCAGGACACCTGATGCTTCTTTCTTAATTGCCTCCGCAAGTCATGGCAAGGAAACTCCTGATGATGTCAGAGTTTCCATTTTAACTGTTTTCTCTTGCGTGCTGCCCTTCCTGTTCCCATGCTGCTGGTATGTGTTGTGGGACACAACTGCCGTGAGGTCTGTTTGTGGTTGACACTTATAACAGTTTGGCCTGTACTTGCTGCTTACCTTCACATATTTTCTTGTTGCTTTTTCAGGTGCCATTGAACTACTTCAAGGTATGTACTTCTCTCAGCCTCTGAAGTTTGTTGGCAGCTCAGGAAGATTTTCGGTGGTTTTCCAGTGTCTGTATGGCTATATCTACAAACTCGTCGATCTTGTATATTAACTTTCCATGTCTTCAGTAGAATCGTTTAGGAAGAATGCTTCAAGCTATATGGCTCACATCTGACTCACAAAAGGAACAAATTGTGAGGAAAGAGTCTGATTTATACTAGAAAACTTGCTGAAACAGGAAAGAAATTGGTGAAATCTGCAAATAATAAAATGAAGGTCATGACAATGGACCAGAGGACGTTGGCTGGATCCAATTGTTGCTGAATTTAAAAGAATTTTGAAGGAATAAAGAAATAAAATGAAATTGGAGTGAGCAAAGGTGTTAGAAGATGGAACAAAATGGAAAGATTTACAAGGCATAAAGAAGCATTAGAGAAAGCACTGAAGATGGGAATGATGCATGAAGAAGATTAAGGGATATTATAAAAAGAGACTGAGAAATAATTAGTAAGATATTGAAAGAAGAAAGAAATTAAGATAAGAGAATAAACAAGGCAGACCAGAGTTATGTTTGGTGCTAAACTAATAACTCACAATATGATTCATTTGTGTTCATGTGTTAATAATGTATGTTTTATATTTGAAATGGATCATCTAAATCAGTGGTTCTCAACTGGGGTTATGCCATATTTAGGAGGGGCCACAGGCAGAAGTGTGAAAAATTGGGGGCCATGGAAATTGTTAAGTGGGCCACAAAAATTTCACTTCTAAAATAAAATTGTTAATAATATAAAAGATAAAAATGCCAAATGGTGAGTACATATAATAACACAATAACTCAGTTTCCTTGTTTTTGTGTACCTTACTTAGAAGGGACAGAACCTATTGTACTTAACCGCGACCTTGGATCTGGGAATTCCAAGTACTGATAAACAGGTACTTGCCTTCTTGGAGCAGGCAAAGTCCTAACAAAATGATCAACTGGAAAAAATGAGTCTTTATTTTCCTAAATAGCTCCCATTCTTCTCATGACTTTTACCACCACATTTTTCAGTAAATTTCAGATGTTCTTCAGTTCAGTATTCAGGGTGTTTTGAAGGAGACATTTTTCTGTGCAAGTTCTATTATTGTGGCAGTTCCCTACTTTGAAGGTAACTTACAAACTCCAGCTACTGTTTTTTGACAACTAAGCATTACTTTTCATAATAATTTGAACTTTCATTACAAACAAATTATTAGCATTCAATAGAATTTAAATACCCCCTCTCAACAAAAGAAGAAATGCTGTGAAATGAGTACAGCGGTTTTGTGTTTATTTTAAGTAGAATGGCTTCCAAAGTAACTTTTATGAATATTAACTTCCAAAATTTTCCACATCTTAAATTTAGAAATAAGGCAGTCATAAATTTTAAAAATTCAAACTGACAAAAAAAAATTTCCGTATACCAGTTTGCTTGGTTTATGTTCAAAGATATAGATACAATTTCATATAGATATGCATATTTCGATTCTGGGATAGTATTGGATGTCGTGAGTTAATGTAATTTCCTTCATTGGCCACTGTTGACATTGAATTGCAAGATGACCTTTTTGTGTATATTGAGCACTTGAAGAATATGTACAATGATTTGAAATTTCTGTTTAGTGACCTGTTAGAGAAGACTATCCCAGACTGGGTGGTCCATCCATCTGAGGAAAATGTGGTTGATGTTGACATCGAATTACAAGAATATCTCATTAAACTGCAAAGTGATATAATAGACCAAGCTAGATTAAAAAACGACAAACATCTTTGGATAAACAGTGAAATTGCCAATAACTTTCCACAGCTTTGTGAGAAGGTAGAATTGTTTTTTATCAGAATTCCTATTTCATACCTTGCTGAACCTCTATTTAGTTAAGTTCATCTGTTATCAAAGGTTCGTAACTTTCTCAATATTGTGAACAGAGGTGATCTTGAATTATCTCTAACAACGCTGCAACCAGATATACAAAAACTTACTTGTTCTCAGCAGCAGCAAGGATCTCACTAAACCTAAGGGATAATAATAATAATGTATTATTTTTTGTTAGGACCATAATTATATGTTGTAAATAAATAAAATATGATATGACTAACAATTCTATTATAAATAGAGATTGTAGTTAATAAACATCTTTTATTATTTATATTGTTTATAAACAAAAAATACCTGTTTAAAAAAGTGCAGTTAATAAAGTATATATTTTTATATATAATATATTTACATTTATTATTATTAAACAATATGAGGGGTGGGAGCCACAGAAGTGAATGAAACTCAGAAGTGGGACACGAGCAAAAAAAGGTTGAAAACCACTGATCTAAATAATGCGGCATGTTAAGATACTGGGTTTTTGGACTTTGTCCATCGTCTGGATTGTAGATTACCAAGAAAAAAGAACAACGTTTCAGAAAATGAATATGTTTCTGTCCTCGGGAGAGGAGATGCCTACTCAGTTAGGCCCCTTAGAAAGAGCTAGCCTCAATCAACTCTGTATCTCTGTGTGTTATACACCATCATCAGAACCCTATAGTATCTACCAGCATGTTAAGGTTTTTACAACATGATCGCCATTAATCTGAGTAGACATGCTCCATTGATTTAATATTAAACAATTATAAGATCAGGTTACATCAACATTAATGATTTCACATCTATTATCAAAAAGTATGGTTTGAATCTCTGCTGGGTCTGTGTGATTTTGTTCAATTCTCTAAGGCAGATACCAGCTTTAAATGAATTCATTCCTTTCACCATCTCGTCAAAAACGGTGCTGATGTCACTTCGGCTACTCGCTGAAAGGTTACTGATGGAACGTCATGTGATAGTAAACATTCACCATTTCTGATCGCCAGGGCCCAGATTTTGATGACATGTCATGTTTTTTTTTCCTTGTATCCTATGCGATGCTCTTAAATATATAAATCTCGGATATGAGCTGCTGGTTACAGAAATGTAAACTTTGTAGGTTTATAGGTTTAAGGTCATTTTTTTCATTTTTGGGGTAATTTTTTGGTAAATCTTTGGACTTAAGGGTATTTCTTGTCATTTTTGCCATTTTAGGGCATTTTTCTTCATATGTTTTCTGAAATGTGAATAATATGGAAGCGAAGTGTTCTTTCTCTTTCTCCTTTAGGTCATTTTTCTGGATTTTTTCGGGCATTTTATAGGTAATTTTTTAAATATTTTCAGGTCATCAAAATCTGAGCCCTGCATATTACATTTTTGGGTCATATTTTAGGTAATTTTTCTGGATTTTATAGGTCATTTTTTAAATGTTTTCAGGTCATCAAAATCCGGGCCCTGCTGATCACTCTTTGCTCCTCTGCAGTAATTAACCATTTGTGTGCCAAATATAACAGCAGTTTCATAGTTGTACGCATTGTTGGACAGCATATCAAAACGGTACACTCTCCTTCTTTACTTTGCCCTTGAAATGTTTCAATAGTTCTTTTGATATCTTGAGTTTCCGCCACACAGTCCTGCTGCTATAACGGCCTCCCGGATATTTACGTTCAATGAAAGTACATAGGACTTTTTTCTGTAGTTTTAATACGTTTCCATAGTATTTTCGAAAATTTCAACATTCGCTCTGAAATTGTCCTTTTGCACAGCAGAGGGCAGTGTGACAGCTTAGTATTCAAAGTGTTTACGTCAAAGTGTGAGGCCACAAACAGTTCCTCCACTTAGTAGAACCGTACATACAGTTCTGCCTTTCTGTTCCATATGCTAATGTTTCTGTGTAGACAGCAATGCAACAAAACGCAAAGGTATCCCAACCATGTATGGTATCTATTCAGAAACAAATTGCGCTACAAATGTATTAGCTATTCAGATTCGATACAGTCCGGTCTAGAAAACCGAAATTAACGGTCGTGAGGATTCTTTGCGCTGACCACGCGACACCCTCTAACCGCAAAAGTTGGCACTAACTTCGCCGACAAGCGGCGGTCGCTCGGTCGGTATAGTTCACTTGTGGAGTAAAATCACGGACTTTTTTTTTATTCGATACAATACGCGTATAGATCATGTGAATAAAAAGAAATCAGAGAATGATAACATTTAGTCTTTGTTGCCTGTCTCATATAGGCCTATAATAATACCCCGAAGATTAGAATACACAAAACTGTAATCACATCCAGTTCTTGACGCCCATGTATTTTTGTCTGAACCTATGGGAGAAACATAGATCGAGGGTGCTGAAGAGGAGATATGGGCCTAGGGAAGATGAAGTTAGACGATGCGAAAATTACATAGTTACGAGCTCATAACTTTTTACACTTCACAAATATGACTTAGTAGGATGACAGAATCAATAAAGATGAGACGGATGAAGAGATAGGAAATACGAGAAATGCATAAACAATTGTAGTCAGAACATCTGAAAAGAAGAGACCGCTTGAAAGGCCTGGGCGCTGAAAGCAGAATAATATTGTCACGCGTTTATGGCACCGTGACTAATAATAACGGGTACTGGATTGGATGATTGGATTTATTGACACATTTTACAATCTCTTGTAATCACAATCAATTGCAGTAACTCAAAGAAATGGCTAAGACTCGCTTCATTTTGTCTCGACTACCACTGACTTCTCTTCACAGGCTGACTTTCAATTAACAACTGACCTGCTTCTTATATGAACGGCCGCTTATATAGCGTATCAGCCGCGTCATAGCTCAAGCGGTTAGTTGCTAGCTTCCCGGGTCTGGTCAAGTGGGATTTGTGGTGGACAAAGTGGCTCTGGGGCAGGTTTTCTCCGAGTACTTCGGTTTCCCCTGCCAATAGCCCCACTAGTAATAAAAAATATATAGCGTATCGGTATCCTAGGGAATGTTTGTTGTTCACACATATCCATGGACACGCCTGCTGATTCCACAGCGACGAGCTGGTTTCCAAGAATCTATATCTCTCATTTTCATGTCCAAGGAAATGTGTTTGCCATCAAGTTCCCTGGCAATGGATCTACATGTCACAATAAGAAACCTGAAGAGTTCTGGCTTCTGTCCTCTTAAGGCAGTCAGCGTTCCGGAGAAGTACGTCACCTTCATGAAGCAGAGCTCGGTTAGTCCCACACCTTGAAGAGAAAGACGACATATTCAACGTCGGCTGACTTTCAGTGTAGTACACAGAACTTAAGATCAAGTTTAATATTGTAGAGTTCTATCCCAGACAATAGAACTCTACAATATTAAACTTGATCTTAAGGAAACGGAGTAACAGGGTGTGGACTGGATTAATTTGCTTTAGAATAAGGTGCATTGACATCCCCCTGTGGAGCGGGAATTGACCTTCACGTTCCATAAAAGGCAGAGAATTTCTTTGTTATTCCCTCAAGGATTCTGTCTATGAAGTTCGTTGCTAACATCATTATCATTTCGGTGGACCGAACGCGCTCTACTAATTTAAATACGCTGTCATCGATAACAGTTGATAAGTATCGATAAGAGAAAAATATCTCCTACAGAAATTATAGCCTTGAATACTACGAGTACGTCCGGGTTATGCACATTTACTCATACAGCGAGTTTTATTTTTCAACACAGTGGTCGTAAACAACTAAAGTGGTCCTAATGAAGAAATCCATACGGGAGATGAATAGGCTGATTATATTAATTTATAGACGCGATGACCAGACTATTGAGATGAATGCATCTCAATGAATGTGGGCATCATAATGAGCCAGCCTGTATTCTTTCCAGCTCTTCTCTAGTTCTGGTCTCCATTGCGAATAAAAGGACTTCAAAGTGGACATATTGTGTGTTGCATTAACAGTTTCTTGGTAATGAACCATACAAGCTCATACAAGTACATTACGAACAGTGGTGTTCTTATTTTGCTATCCACATGAACCAACATGTACCGCAGAATATGTCACTGATACAGTTAACTAACTAACTACATGGGGCTGCCTTCTTATTGGGAAGCAGCCAGTCGCTCAGCTACTTAAAAAATTCCCAACATTTTCTGGAACCCGAAAGTTCATTACCGTGTGCACTGGCCCCTATTCTCAGCCAGAACAATCAAGTCCATATTACCCCGTCTTATTTCTCTGAGATCCATTTTAATATTGCCCTTCCATTTATACGTCCAGAACTACATAATGGTTTTTTTACTTTCTGGCTTTCCACCAAAATCCTATACGCATGCATCTTCCCATATGTGCTACATGGTCTGCCGTCTCATGGTAAAACTGTATCTGCGCTTTATTAAGGACCACAATATGAAGACGTATGATGGGATATGTGCTATTGCTCCAGATATTCTTAACTTCTATACTAGATGGAAGTGAATATCAGCTTCAGGCTCCGTCCACTTTAGCCCCGGCAAAATTACTCCCAAACTCACAGGCGAAAAGACTACATGGGGCCCAAGAAGGCCTGAATATGATGGCGCAGAAAAGCATCTCCCAGGCAGACACTAATCTGACTGAGCCATCACTTATTGAGTGTCTTGTCATTAGGGATATGACACTCTGTATTTACTTGTTCCCGATGATAGCTGTCTTTGTGCATGTGTGGGATACAAGTTGATAGGGTGTGATGTATTGCTTTTCATTCACCCTCCAACCCCAACAAGGTCAACACAGATTTGCATGTAATTGCTGCTTCAGACACGCCCCTACCCCTGCGGATAATATTGGAAACTCCGCCACAAACTGGGGCTCTCAACCTGCAGCTTGATGAGTCAGGAAAGCGGGGCAGTGTCAACAGAACATCCCCAAGGTGTCTCTTGACCACGCGAGAAAGGTGATGCTAGCCCGTGCTTAGCATCACGCAAACAAAGCATATGGAGCATGCGAAGGTAAAAGACAAAGTGTCATATCTTCTGCGATATGACATCGCATATTTCGGTGAGATTCAACAGATTTTTCGGAAGAAAATACCTCCTGTTTCATATCTCTTTAACAGCCACTGATGTGGGAACATCCAGTCCAACAAACACATAAATTTCCCACAATTTTAAGCTCAGCAGTGAAACTGAGATGGTAGTTCTTGTATTCCAGCAGATTTCATCCTGGAAATGTCTACAAGTTTCCTTGTTATGGCCCTAAAGTAATTTCGCAAACAGCAGTGACTTTCTCACTACAGGCAACAATAACTGGCCGATGTACTGCAATATACACGGAGCCCTTGTGGATATATTTATAGTTTCCCAACTGGTGAAAATATTTTTCACATTTTGTGATCCCCGAAAGCACGCCAATGGC